ATTCATTTCTGTAACTTATTTTATCTGGTATGCCTGAGCTTTCATTTATAATTATAATTTACAAACTTGTCCCTGCAGAGTGATGGGTAATAGAAGGAAAAGCCTATTTCATTCTTCAGTAGTCCACATAACACTGAGTGCAGTAATCCCTGTCATGAAGACAGGAAGAAGGCAGTTGCACCAATTGTCAGCACACAAAAAAAGTGGTTCTTCAGGTCATTCATGGCAGAGAAAGGTGTTAAGAAGAAGGCAAAATAGCAGGATTTATGGACCCATCCCTGAGTATAAGAAATAGAGGAAGTATTAAGACAGTACTACTTTCAGGTAATCGTGTTCACAAAGGCTGTAGCCTTGACAATTTGACTCCTGTCAGGGAAATACAAAAGGGTTTTATGTTATTATATATTAAAGCCTGTAGATTTTTTTATGACACTGAGTTTCTGCAAAGTAGATATCCAAACTTACCAAGAAGGCCTCCTTCTTTTATATGAATAGGGCTGATCTTTGATATCATTGTTGTTATTAGGTGCCATTGAGTCAGCTCCAACTCATAGTGACCCTATGTACAACAGAAAGAAACACTCCCAGCCATGCACCATCCTCACAATCCCTGCTATACCTATCCCATTGTTGCAGCTACTGTGTCAATCCATCTCATTGAGGGTCTTCCATTTATTCACTGACCCTCCACTTTACCAAGCATGATATCCTTCCCCAGGGAATGGTCTCTTCTCACATCACAAACAGAGTAAGTGAGATGAAGTCTGGCCATTCTCACTTCTGAGGAGCATTCCAGCTACACTTCTTCCAGGACACATGTGTGATATCAGGGGTGTGGAATTTGATCTTAAATACATTCTGAATGTGATGTAATGACAATCCTAACATATGTTTTAATTTAATAAATGAAATTAAAATTCTAAAGGTCAGATCAATTTTTTTTTTTTTTTCTCATTTAAAACATTTGAAATACTTTGTAAAGAGACAAGGTTTTAGTCACTTCTTGACCACAGCCAGCTACCTAGAGGAAGTGAGTAATTGGGCCTGTGGGCTCTGGACAATAGTTACAGGGGACATCAAGCTTAACTGGCATAACATACTACACAAAAACATTGTTCCACATCCTACTTTGGTGAGGAGCAACTGAGATCTCAAAAGCTTGCAAGCAGCCATCTAGAGGCAATGATAGGTCTCTCCTTGTCCAGAGCAAAGAAGAATAAAGAAAACCAAAGACACATGGAAACAATTAGTCCAAGTGACTGATACACAATGCAATCATCAACCTATATGACTATGAGACCAGAACTAGATGTTGCCCAGCTACCACTGTCAACCACTTGGAGGGGGATCTATGTAGGAGATCCTGGGCAGAGTGGGAGAACAATGTGGAACAAAACTCAAAACCATAAATAATAATAATAATAATAAAGGGACCAGGTTATTTTGTCTGATAGAGCCTGGTGTAACCCCTGAGACTATGGCCCCTAGCTACCCTTCATGTCTGGAATTGAACCCTATGGCTTTGAGCCAAACTAAAGACAGGCATATGTCTTTAGGTACATTAGGTAGATACACTCCTTGGAGAGATCAATCATGGGAGAATAGAAGGGCTGTGTATCCACAGGGAGACAGCTGGGGGGGCAGGAGTGCATAGGAGGGAAGGACACAGGGAAGAGGTAACTATGGGGAGCTGTTGCATTGTGGGAAATTGCAGTCATGAGACAAAGTGTAAGTGAGCTGCTGTATGGAAAGTGAATTTGCTCTGTAAACTTTCACTTAAAGCACAATTGAAAAAAAAAAAATTAGCCCATGATTTTTTTTTTTTTTTTTTGTATTACGGCAAAAAAAAATAAACAAAATTGAAATACTTCCTTTCCAAAATTCACGATGTGAAAGCTGTTCCCAGGATAAATTGATGATTTAATCTTCATTGCCTCAAAGTTTTAGAGAATAATGAATATATTTAAAAAATACTTAAATTTTATCCCTTTTATCATTCTGATCTTTTATAGGCATATACCACTGACCCAGCTCCCAGGAATCAAAACAGTAATCAACTCATTTTCAAAACATCTGAGCATAATCAGAGTGACATTGATGAGGGTTGGGACAGTTCAACAGAATGAGGAATCTATTTTTTGTAGTCAGACATGGAGATAGTATTTTAGGAGATAGAGTAATGGAAGGGGGAAATTTGTGAATTTATAGGAGCTCTGGTAGCTTAGTGCCTAAGGCACTTGACAGCTAACTAGAAGGCTGGCAGTTCAAACCCACCAGCCACTCCTCGGAAGGAAGGTTGGACAATCTACTTCTGTAGTGGTACCACCTCAGAAACCCAAAGAAGGGTCACTATGAGTTGGGTCCGACTCCATGGCACATAACAACAACATAATAATCAGAAAATCCTTTCTTATTATCATAAACAATATTTTTGTAGTCACTGTTTCAGAATGTTAGAAATAGGAGGATGGAAAATATCAGTTAAATATTTACCAGTGAGAATAAAGGAGAGAGAAAGGTAATTCTAGACATTGGATCCAGGAAACCATACCTGAATCAGGAGATAATTCTGAGCATGGTGAAACAAGATAACTAAAAGAAGTACAACCTTTTCTTTTCTGAAATTCACTGCAGTGGAGTTGATTCGACCCATAGCGACCCCTCCTTGGGTTTCCAAGGCAGCGTCACTACAGAAGTAGATTGCCCCATCTTCCTTCCGAGGAGTGGGTGGTGGGTTTGAACTACCACCACAGCTCCCCTTTTTATGAAAGGGACTGGGAATTCAGGCAAGAAGGAAAATTCAGGAAGTAAAGATAATGAAATATGGAGAAAACAACAAACTAGGCCCTTAGGGAACTGTGACATCCTATACTGAGTTAAGAAATGCTGCTGCTTTTGTTTTTTTCATTAGAGCTTTTAATAGCAAGGAGTAGAACTCTACACTTCAGAATAATTTCCTAGTTCGAGATGTTTATAAATTTATTAAATGAAAATGAAAACTGGTGGCTGTATTGGGAAATATTTAAAGGTAGAACAGGAAATTTCAATAGAAGAGAGTTTGAAAACACAAATACATAGAGAAAATGGGTAGATGTGGACTGTGGGTAATAAATTTGAATCAAGGAATGATTATAAAAACAAATTTCTTAGTAACCTAGGAAAATATATGATCTGAGTAAAGGTTGGGATGCCTTTCTACTTCCCTACCCCTCTTCTTAGGAGCTTTGGTAGCATAGTGCCTAAGGTACTTGACTGCTAACCAGAAGGCTGGAGGTTCAAATCCACCAGCCACTCCATGGAAGGAAGACTTGGCAATCTACTTCCATAGTGATACCACCTGGGAAACCCAAGGAATTGTCCCTATGAGTCTGTCTTAACTCAATGGCACATAACAACAAACACCCCCTCCTCTTAAGTCATAAAGAAACTTCTCTGTCCCCTTGCCAAAGAGGCAGGGAAGCCACATCTTCTGAACTCTTCTAACCCCACAAGAGGAAAACAGAATCACCATCAGTAGCCCAAGGCCTATTCCTGCAAGGTCAGACATGCCTCCCTTTCACCAACACTGGCACCAACCCTTCCTCCTGCAGCACCCATCACCTCTCTGCTGGGTTCAATAATTCACTGCAGTGGCCACATAGAGCTCACAGATTATGGGGTTTATTAGGGAAGCAACAGGTTATAATTCAAGTTCAGGAACACACTCAGTCTCTCTCAACCTGCTGTCTCTTAGCCAACAGTCTCTCTCAGTCTTTCTCCCAGCAGTGTGTGTCTCTCGGTGTCTCTCTGAGCAGTGTGTATCTCTTGACTCTCTCTCAGCAATGCATGTCTCTCACTTATCTCTCTCTGCAATGTGTGTCTCTCATGTCTCTTAGCCTGTAGTGACAGATTTCTATTGCTTCTGGGAAGGCTCCTTTTGAGCCTGGCAGAGTGACCAAACTAACCAATCCCAACATCAGAATTCTATATACCTGAGAGAGAGCAAACTTCCCAGAAGATTACTTCATGCATTCAACAGAAATACCCCAGGTGGATAACTTTAACAATCAGGAACTACTCAGTTGTTTGCAGCAAATTCTACCTTGAGTTTACAAAGACTTATGGCTAGAAAAGCCACACTATGTGCTTTACTTCACCACCCCCCTCAAGCACTTTCATAGAGCAATCCAGGCAGAAACACTAAAATGAGCCCCTATAGTTTCCCCATTGAAACCACTGCTTTGAAATTAAAGTGTTACTCACAACTTGTAGTTGCAATTAACTTTTACTTGTTTATATTTCCTATTATAATGAGAGGTCTCTAGGCTTCCATTTCTGGATCCCTGGAACCTAATATAGTACTATTGCATAATGAATCATTTGTTTATATTTATTCAATTTCAGTGACCATGTATTTGTTTAAATGGTCAAATAAAGAAAAGAATGAATGAATATTTATTTTCTTACCAAGAAGATTTAATCCAAATAATAAGGAAGAAATATTTCTATGTGGCAGATGCTTCATTCATTCTGTCCTTTCAAATATCTTGTAATTATTCTAGGAACACAGAAGTAGCTCCATCCAAATGCTCTAAATCTGACCCACATGGGCAAGCCTTTTTCAATTCCTGGGCCTCAGTTTCCTCAATGGTATAATAACAGAATTTGAGAGGAAATCTCTATGAGACCCATCAGGTTGTGACTCTAAAAAAAAAAAAAATCCACAAATAAACCTACCTATGGAGACTTTTCTGACAGGAATTCCTGAAAAAAAATGAAACCAGGAAATAAGTAGAGGGAGAATGAGGGTCTGTAATCACACTCTTACGGCAGTGCCACACTGCTAAGTAAAGGTAAGGGTGTCATCATCAGGCATCACCCTCAGAACCACACCCTTGCCTTGGCCAATCTGCTCACAAGAGCAAAGAGGCATGAGCCTGGATGGGGTATAAAGAGGTACAAAGAAAGAGTAGGGACAATTGTTTCTTACATTTTCTTCTGAAACACATCTATTCACTAGCAACTACCCAAACAGACACCATGGTGCTGACTGCTGATGAGAAGGCTCTTGTTAGCTCCCTGTGGTGCAAGATGAACGTGGATGAAGCTGGTGCTGAGGCCCTGGGCAGGTGAGCCTCTGGGTTGTGAGGCAGGCTTGAGAAGGGGTGACTGGGCTGGGCATGTGGAGCTAGAGCAGTCTTCCAGGCTTCTGACAGGCACTGACTCCCTGTGTTCCCTGTGCTGCTTTCACCCCTCAGGATGCTTGTTGTCTACCCATGGACTCAGAGGTTCTTTGACCACTTTGGGGACCTTTCCTCTGCTTCTGCTGTCATGGGCAATGCTAAGGTGAAAGCTCATGGCAAGAAAGTGCTGAACTCCTTTAGTGATGGCCTGAAGCACCTGGATGACCTCAAGGGCACCTTTGCCCACCTGAGTGAGCTGCACTGTGACAAGCTGCATGTGGATCCTGAGAATTTCAGGGTGAGTCCATGGGCATCAGTGCTCTCTTTCTGCTCATTTTTATGCTCAAGTTCATACCATGAGGAAGAACTTCCAGGTCAGAACAGGAAATTGATGTTCTGAATGCATACTATGTACTTTTCAAATTATTTAGTTTCTTTCATCCTGTTTGCTCAACTATTGTTTCATTTTTCATTCTTTTCATCTCCATAATTACTTTTCTCTTAAATTTTTAATTAAACTTTTTAGTTTGAGATTTTTTAAAAAAATTTAATGATTTTTTTTTTTTTTAAATCCACTTTCCCCGCCCCCGTACTTTCATAACAAACAGGACAAGATGGATCATTGTGACTATGAGAGGGTTTAAATAATAACAGTGATAACTTAAGGTCTGGGATAAGATGAGTAGGGGGCAATGTTTTCTATATAGGTTCAGGTTTATAAGGGAATATTAGTATTTGATTAGTATAATGCTCATTTCTTTCTTTCTATTTTTGGGGGGTGGGGTGGGTAAACAACCACAAGCACAATTTAAAATGAGGGTGAAATATTCCTAGTCCAAGCTGTGTACTCCGCTAATCAAGTTCCTGTCTCTTATCTCTTCCCCTCAGCTCCTGGGCAACGTGTTGGTGTGTGTGATGGCCCGCCACCTGGGCCCGGAATTCACCCCACAGGCACAGGCTGCCTATCAGAAGGTGGTGGCTGGTGTGGCTAATGCCCTGGCTCACAAGTACCACTGAGATCCTGGCCTGTTTGCTGGTATCCATTGGAAGCCCTTGTTTCCCTAGATGCTGTTTCTGAATTTGGGGAAATAATGCCCACTCTCAAGGGCATAGCTTCTGCCAAATAAAGAACTTTCAGCTCAACTTTCAAATTTATTTTATTTATTTTTCATTCACTATTGTATGTGGAAAGGTCCCGAAGGATCTATGGATATGGAGGTCTTGACTCTCATAGGAAGAGTTCCAGGGAAACTGGAAAATGAAAGGGACCATATGGAGCTACTGACCGGGACAATTTTACTTCTAAGACACAGAGATTGGGGAGATTTTGCAGGCAGAGGACACCAGCACTCCGGGGATTCCAGGGACCTCAAACCTAAGACATAGCCTCAGGCCTAACTTTCAGATCTGTTTCCAATAATTGCTCACAAAATAATGGGTTCAATTAGAGGTGTCGTAATTACTCAACACACTGGTTTATTTCCTTACTTCCTACTTCTTTTATCCCACAGTGTATACCCTATCAAGTCTTCTTATTCTAGAGAACAATCCTTCTTCTCTTGCTGGCGCAATAACACCTCCAAAAATAATCCTTGCTTCTTGTTTTTCTCATTTGAGGGAGAGCTCAATCTCACATACTACTTATGTCTTCTTTTGACCCCAACTTTGATGAACTTTCTAATCTGTCCAAAGAAATGTTTCCAACCCTTCTTCTCTATCATTTTTAACATTTCATGTTTGTTTTATTTTTCAATAAAATGATTTATTGTTTTAAGGTGATTTTGATCATGATGATGTGTGTGTGTATTATATATGTGCATATGCAAGAGAGAAAGAAGCAAATATAACATTGTGTGTTAGAATCCGTAAATGTTTTTAAATAATTTAATTTAATGTGAGGAGATTTGAACATGGTAAATTAATGTCTTACACTTTCATAAGGGGTAACCAGACTGAAGCCAAGATTCTGCCTTTAAACATTGAAATTTAACTTTATGGAAGACTGCCCTTTTGTGCTCTATAAATCAACACTATACCCACTTAGTAGGGAGCTCTGGTGGCATAGTGCCTAAGGTATTTGACTGCTAACCAGAAGGCTGCTGGTTCAAACCCACCACCCACTCCTTGGAAGGAAGGTTTGGCAATCTACTTCCATAGGCAAATAAAATCTCTTTCTAAATAAAAACTGTATCCTAATAAAGAAAATATTAATGCAGAAGTTATAAGCTTAAACATCAATTGTTTGCTAATGTTAATTAAATACATATCTTAGCAGTTATGTCACTATTGACTTCATAGACTTTCAGAGAGAAATAGGACTTTTTTAATGAATTGATCTTATTCTTAAAGTTTTCAGTACATAGGTGTTTGTTTCTATGTGTTTTACTGGTTGTGGAGTATATTAATGGAAAGAGTGATGATTGAACACATTTAGCTGAGATTGCATAGACACTGTGCATGTGGCAGAGGAGACTATAAAAAGTATTTGGACTGTGCTTGAGTCAGGCAAATATAGATTACATTCCTGAAATGTACCACTTACGGAATTTAACACTGAACGATAGAGCATATACAAAAGCATTGTAATGGAGTGTCATATTGGAAATCAATGACAGAGCCAAATGGGTGAGTGCCATGATTCTCCTGAGATAATTTAGTGATCGTTCTGTTAATTATACTCAGAATAGGCTCTGCCTGAAAGGAGATCTGATGGCATAATGGTTAAAGCATTTGGCTGCTAACAGAAGGGTTGGCAGTTTGAACTCAGCAGCCACTCTGTGGGTGCAGATGAGACGCTCTACTTCTATAAACATTTACAGCCTTAAAAGAAAGAGTATGGGGAGTTTTACTTTCTCTTATATGTTGCTATGAGTCTGAATTGACTTGATGCTGGTTAAATGATGCTTGGTGAGTTTGGCTAAATGGGTTAATAAACTGGCAAACAGGAGTTAAAGAATAACTTCTGTCTTTCTCATGGGCACTTGTGATGTGTGTGTGTGTGTGTGTGTGTGTGTTTTTGAAGAAGTCAAGGTGGCTGCGATCTAGGTAGAGCATGTGGACTCCTCACAGGCAGAAGTAAGCTCACAATTCTGAATATGGCAGTGGGGCTAAGAAGCCTTGGGAAATTGTTGATTGCTGACCTGGATTTGGGTTGGAGATTCTTAATATAATCGTAATTACCAATATTTATTCATTTCTGTAACTTATTTTATCTGGTATGCCTGAGCTTTCATTTGTAATTAGAAGTTACAAACCTGTCCCTGCAGAGTGATGAGTAATAGAAGGAAAGGCCTGTTTCATTCTTCTGTAGTCTAAGTAACAACACTGAGTGCAGTTCTCCCTGCCCTGAAGCAGGGAGATGGCAGTTGCATCAACTGTCAGCATACAAAAAAGGGGACTCTTAAGATCATTCATGGCCAAGGAAGGCATTAAGAAGAGGGCAGTATCGAATAATTTGTTGAAGCATTTAGGGAAATACTTAAGAAGGTGCTAATTTCAGGCAATCATGCATATAAAGGCAATAACCTTGACAATTTGTCATCTCACAGGGAAATTTAAAATTATTCTGTGCTATTGTTTAGTAAAGCCTGTAGATTTTCTATGACACTGTTGTTGTTGTTGTTGTGTGCCATCGAGTCGTACCCGACTCATAGCGACCCCTCCTTGGGTTTCCTAGGCAGTATCACTACGGAAGTAGATTGCCCTATCTTCCTTCCAAGGAGTGGCTGGTGGGTTTGAACCGCCAGCCTTCTGGTTAGCAGTCAAGTGCCTTAGCCACTATGCTACCAGAGCTCCCTCTATGACACTAGGTGTCTGCAAAGTAGATATCCAAAATTCCCAAAAAGGCCTCTTTCTTCCACATTTACATGCCTGATCTATGATATCAGGGATGGGGAATTTGGTCTTAAACACAGTCTGCATGTGATGCAATGGCGAAGCTAATGCAGATTTTAATTTGATGAACTGAAATTAAAATTCTAAAAGAGCAAATTTTTTTTTTTTTTTTTTTTTAGCATTTAAAATACTTCTTTTTTCACAATTCACATTGCGGAAGCTGTTCCCAGGATAGATTGATGGTTAGGTCCTCATGGTTTGAAGGTTTGAGAGAAAAATGAATATATTTTGAAAAATTTCAGTTTTCTCTATTTCACCTCTCTAATGTTTTATAGGCATATACTGCTTATCTAACTCCTAGATATCAAGACACAGTAAATTCTTTTCCAAAACATCTGAGCATAATCATTGTGAGACTGATGAAGCTTGTGACAGTTACACGGGGTGAGGAATTGATTTTTTGTAGTCAGTGATAAGGAAAATATTTTCCGTGATGGAGTAATGGAAAGAGGAATTGTGTGAATTTCTTTGGAACAACTACAAAGAAAGAAGTCTTTCCTTTCTGATTATGCTAAGCAGTAGTTTTGTAGTCAGATTTTCTGAGTGTTAGAGGTGGGAGGATGGGAGATCCTGGCTAAATATTTGTTACCAGCAAGGATAAAGGAGAGAAAGAGAGAGACAATCAGAGACATTGGAATTGGGAGACCATATCTGAATCAGGAGATAATTCCAAGGAAGGTGAAACATGAAAACTAAAAGAAGTATAATCTTTTCCTTTCTGAAAGGAACTGGAAATTCAGGCAAGAAGAAAGATCCAGGAAGTAAAAATGATGGATTTTTGAAAAACAACAAACAAGGCCCTTGGGGAACTGTGATATCCTACATTGAGCTAAGGAATGTTATTGTTTTTTGCATTATTTGTTGGATCTTTTAACAGGAAGGAGTAGAACTATACCCTTCAGAACATTTTCCTCGTCTAAAAAGTTAACAGACTTAGTAAATTAGAAAGAAAAATAGAAGAAGATATTGAGAAATATTTAAAGATAGAGCAGGAAATTTCAATAGAAGAGAGTTTTAAAACACAGAGAAATACTTAGAGAAAATGAGTGGATGTGGGATTGTGGGTAGTAAATTTGAATCAAAGAATGATTATAAAAACAGAATTCTTAATAACTTAGGAAAACATACGATCTCAGCAAAGTTTAGAATGTCTTTCCAGTTCCTTACCCCTCTTCTTAAATCATAAGTAACTTTTCTGTCCCCTCAAATACTTTCCAGACCAGTCCAAGCAGGAACACTGAACTGACCCTCTAGAGTTTCCCAAAGAAGCCACTGCTTTGAAACCAAAGGGTTACTCACAATTTGTAGTTGCATTCGACTTTTACTTGTTTATATTTCCTGCTACAACAAGAGGTCTCTGTATTTCCATTTGGTCCCTGAAACCTAATACAGTGACTGTTGCATAGAGTAGTCTTCATTTATATTTACTCAGTTTTTAATGATCATGTATTTGGTTAAATGGTCAGATAAAGAAACAAACAAATGAATGTATGAATATTTATTTCTTACCAGGAGGATTTAATCTAAATCAGAAGAAGGAAGAAATATTTAGATTGTGACATGTTTCATTTATTCTGTCCTTGTAATTATCTTGCATGTTCTGGAAACACCGAAATAGCACCATCCAAATACTCTAAAGCTAAACCACAGAGTGAATGCCTTTTTCACTTCCTGGGCCTCCATTTCCTCAGTGGTGTAATAACAGAATTGGAGAGGAAATCCCTGAGACCTACCAGGTTGAGATTT